ATTAGTTTAATTCATAGTCCTTAAACGTTTTATTTTGATGATGATTTGGGTTTTCTTTCCTTGAGATAAATTAATAGTTACTGATTAATCTGTGTTTAATTATCATTGGAATGTTCATACGTTTTTAATAATCGTAGTATTCCAATGTCAGTGAAATACCGTTTACAAGCTTAATTTTTGTCAATACGTGTTTGATTATTGTTATTACGCACTCCACTTTCATAATCTATTGTTAAATATAATAAGTGTTATGTTTCACCTGGATCCATATATCTGTCTTCAAACTATATTACTAAAAACAAAACTGTATATCTTAAATTTGATAACTAACGGGAACTGTGCCATACAGGGCGTGTAATTTTGTGTTTTTGTGAAAATCATAAAATTTATAATTTATCGAGAAATAAATTTTATCTCAATAATATATTCTACGATTTTGCACCGTGCGCACAACTAGGACGAAAGCATGGTTTGATCTCGCATTTTGTATTATTGAGTTCATTTCGGTTTGATCTATTTTGATGTAATAAACCTAATGTCTGATCTACGTCGAACTATGATGGTTGTACCTATTTTACGAAGGTATGTTTGAAGGAGAGAGTAGAGTTTAATTCAAGGTACACGATTGGTAGTTTGTTTCTTTTTATTTTTTACTGTACTAATGATGGATTCGTTCGTAAAACTCGTTCACAGAACTGTTACTTTGAACTTGTAAACCATCCAAGAATTTTTGTGCAGTGACGCTCACTCACACGGTACTTAAAAGCAGAAACACATATTCTGATATTAATAACATTCACTGAGTTACATACCCAGCTATGTTGATAGCTCATCTATTCAGGCATTATGGTGTGAGCATGTCATGACATCGGCAGTCTAGTTATAAATTGGTAAAATTACGGCAAATCCTTTTTATTTTGGGGAATGAATGCTACAAAAAGTACCATGCGTCATAGTACGACTCGTACACATATATTGCTATAATGGCGCAACAATCGTTTCTCTCACGTGTTCTCAGAACAGTTAAATAATCTGCAAAACAATCAACGATGTGCAAGGAGTGACTGTGTTGCAACTCGCTAAGTGATGACAGCATTTAATTCTCAATCAATATGGTCACGAACGCCACCTTCGTCTGTTGTGAAATATTAGTCTCATTACTCGATGTAATTAGAGCGTAATCTTTCAAATCTCGTTTCAGAACCTCAGCACTCAATACTTCACCTCAGTGCCCTAGGAAAAGTTCCAAAGCGTCACAGAGAATCTCTAATATTTGGAACCAAGACTCTTTTATTTTTTATTATTTATTAAAGTGTTAGGTTGATTGGATTAAAGTGTTTAGGTTGTGCTGTCTGGAATGCAGCAAAGTGTAATTGGGTCTATTTATGTGCTTCAGTCCGATTTCTCCCATGCACATGGTTGAAATTTGTGAACGCGCAAATCCCCCAAGGAAATCAAAGTTAGGATTGCATGTTATTAATACAACTACAGATATCATTTATAAGGAACTAAAAGGTGATATTGACAATGAATTGTGCATACAAACACGATTACATAACACGAAACGGCAGTAGGCAAGGAGGCTCACTTACTATAGGCAATAACATGCTTACATTTTCCACCATGACACGACATAACACTATGTACACACTGGTAATAACACAGTAAGGCGAACAACACAAAAAAATCATTGCAACAATGATGGAAAGGTTGTATACATCTATATGCAAATATCATCACCTAAACACTGAAAATAACTCATATTTTACTTCTGGAATGCTAAGTAAATCATCTAACCAATCGATCGAGTAAAGAATTGTGCTCGCATAGTTGCCTCTAACGTAGCTTTCATTGGTGTCAGTCCGACAGAAAATTCAAAACTAGCACAAAGACCAAAATAGCCAATGTAACACATTTTAATTCGGGTTTCATACTTCATTGGGTGCCATTGACATGACATTCTGATTGTCTGTGAAGCCCGCAATAGTGTGACCTAGTACCAGGTGTCTAAATACGACCTGTAACTCTCTCGGGGTTGATCTCTGATCTCTCTCATTTCCACATGCCGTGACGAAATCGTCGTATTCAAATTTATATATATAATTCCCGACTGTATCGCCTGGAGTATTTGAATATACCAACCACGGTGGCGCATCGCACACAACGTGCATTGGCGTCTGAGTATTAAAGTTCGTTGATGGCGCTCTTCAAAAGACCCAGAGTACTGAATATTGACTAGTTAACCTGCACTGCGAAGAGCTCTTGTTGTTTGTGGACTACCAATGCCTACACTTATGTGTACCACGTGTTCAGTTGCTAACCTGTGACCAAGGGGCAAAGCGTCATGGTCAAAATATAGCGATCCTATGGCAAAATACTGTTAAAACGACAAGTAAACCCAAAGCAAATGTCTATATGATGATTAATATCACTATTCATATCGTCACAGGGAAATTTGTTCTTTTAAAAAGTGGGGGTTAATGTGCCTACAATAAAAAAAAATAAACGCATCGTATCTTTCTACTCACCACTGCTGACAGCGGGTTATACACAAATGAAAGCATAGAGCTCTGCTTGATATTAGCGAGAATATTGGCAATGGGTTGCTGATCTAAATCGTCATTTCGGTTTTCGGTCTATTATAACTGAGAACATTGAAAGGTTTCCAAAAAAAAAAATTGGGAGCGAAATCTGCAAACACGCATGAAAACAAGTCAATATGCCACGGGTAATAACCCCTGTCTAATTGCAGGACCACACAGTTGATTTGAAAATAGAACAAAAACCCACTCTACTCAACACCATGACTCGCATCTAAATGCAGGACCACACAGTTGATTTGAAAATAGAACAAAAACCCACTCTACTCAACACCATGACTCGCATCTAAATGCAGGACCACACAGTTGATTTGAAAATAGAACAAAAACCCACTCTACTCAACACCATGACTCGCATCTAAATGCAGGACCACACAGTTGATTTGAAAATAGAACAAAAACCCACTCTACTCAACACCATGACTCGCATCTAAATGCAGGACCACACAGTTGATTTGAAAATAGAACAAAAACCCACTCTACTCAACACCATGACTCGCATCTAAATGCAGGACCACACAGTTGATTTGAAAATAGAACAAAAACCCACTCTACTCAACACCATGACTCGCATCTAAATGCAGGACCACACAGTTGATTTGAAAATAGAACAAAAACCCACTCTACTCAACACCATGACTCGCATCTAAATGCAGGACCACACAGTTGATTTGAAAATAGAACAAAAACCCACTCTACTCAACACCATGACTCGCATCTAAATGCAGACCACACAGTTGATTTGAAAATAAACAAAAACCCACTCTACTCAACACCATGACTCGCATCTAAATGCAGGACCACACAGTGATTGAAA